GTGCCGTTGATGTGGAGCAAGACGCAGCAGCAGAAGAGGACTCAGCCGAGGAGGTTATGGAAGAGGATGGAGTAGGAGGAGTAGAGGAGGTGGCAGCAGGCCTGCCTGCAAGTCGTGGCGGTGTCACCAACTCCTCTGCAGAGCCACGCATTCCATGCTTGGCAGCGTCAGCAGGTTTACCCAATGCGCAGTGTAGGTGATATACCTGCCCTGACCATGCTTTGCAGACCAGGTATCAGTGGTCAGATGGACCCTTGCCCCAACACTGTGCCAGACATGCCATTACTTCCTTTTGCACAATCGAGTACAGGTTGGGGATTGCCTTTTGTGCAAAGAAATTTCGGCCAGGTACCTTCCACTGCGGTGTCCCAATAGCTACAAATTTTTTGAACGCCTCAGACTCCACCAGCTTGTATGGTAAAAGCTGGCGGGCTAAGAGTTCAGTCAAGCCAGCTGTCAGACGCCGGGCAAGGGGGTGACTTTGTGACATTGGCTTCTTACGCTCAAACATGTCCTTGACAGACACCTGACTGTGGGCAGATGAGCAGGAACTGCTCAAGGCGAGAGACGGAGGGGCGGATGGTTGAGAGGGGGCAAGGAGGACAGCAGTGGTTAACGTGGCTGAAGATGCTGGACCAGGAGGAGGATGGCGGCTTTGAGTTTGTGTGCTGCTTGTACTCATGTGTTGATCCCATAGGCGTTTGTGATGTGCGATCATGTGCCTTCGCAAAGCAGTTGTACCTAGGGTCCCGAGCAGCCACACGGGGGTCCCGAGCAGCCTTATCTGCTGTTCAATCTAACTTGCTGCTGCTACAGGTTCAAACAGACCTGCTCGGGACCCCCGTGTGGCTGCTCGGGACCCCCGCGTGGATGTTGGACTTCCAACGACTCAGTTTCTTTTGGCACAGGTTGCAAATGGCATCGCTGTTGTCAGAGGCAGACACACAAAAAAAATGCCACACTGCTGAGCTCTGCAATGACGGCATTCTGGTGGTGGCAACAGCATGCGTTGATTGGCGTGCTGTCTGGCTGACCCCAGGTACCGATGCATGCTGTCTGACTGTGCCACTAGCTCCTTGCGATGACCTCCCCCTGCTTCCAACTCGTCTCCTCCTCCTCCTCTCTGTCTCCCCATCTGAACTTCCACCTGTTCTTCTTCTCTTCTAGCGGGCACCCACGTGACATCCACGGACGTGACATGCACAGACGCATCGTCATCATCAACCGCTTCACTTGTATCTGACAACTCAGCAAAGAAAGATAGATAGATATATATATATATAATATAAATATGTTTGTAAGTATTGTGTGTATGTGTGAGGGGTGCAGTGGATGTCTGTGAGGGATGTAGTGTGTATGTGAAGGGTGCAGTATGTGTGTGTGATGGATGCTGTGTTTGAGGGGTGCTGTGTGTAATGTGTGGGGGCTGTGTGTATGGGTGTTGTGTGTGAGGGTGCTGTGTGTAAGGGTGCTGTGTGTGATGGGTGTGAGAGTGCTGTGTGTGATGTGTGTGAGAGTGCTGTGTGTGATGGGTGTGAGAGTGCTATGTGTGATGGGTGTGAGAGTGCTATGTGTGAGAGTGATGGGTGTGAGAGTGCTGTGTGTGATGGTGTGAGAGTGCTATGTGTGATGGGTGTAAGAGTGCTATGTGTGATAGTGCTGTGTGTGATGTGTGTGAGTGTGCTGTGTGTGAATATTAGAAGGGATTGTGTGTTTGGGGGGTAAAAAAATAATAAAATAAAAAATAATTAAGCAGGCATTATATCCCCCCCACCTTCTTACCTTTAGCCTGGGGGGGGGGGAGGTCTGGCATGGTGGTACCTGGGAGGGGGGTTCAGGCACGATCACATTATCCCTGGTGGTCCAGTGATGAGTGAACCATGGCAAGATAGAGCTCCGCCGGGTCCTCTCCCTCCCCAGCCGCAGGTCTATCACAAGGGGGCCGGTGAGGGAGATCATAAAGTAACACAGCGGGACCGGCGCTCGGATAGTACGGGCCCTGCATAGACCGGCAGGGGATGTCCTGTGACCTTCCCTGCCGGCCTCGGCCCATGGCCACCGCAGCCCACCGGGCCTGCCTAGAGTGAATAATTACACTGGCAGTGTTTAGAACATACTTATTCCTGCATATACAAACTTCTTCCTCTATTCTTATATTTATATACAATATAGATATAGTTTAACTATATATATAGGCAGTAAAGATTACACTAATTGCATATATATATGTTTACTATGTATTAATCTATGTTTATTATGATTTTTCCCTGCTTTTATGTTTTATTCTCTGCTTTTTTATTCCCTATTTCCTCCTGATCTCCTTCCTTCTCATGTAACATTTGCCCACACTATCTCGCTTTACCAATATGGCATATACATGTTCCCCTGAGCTGTTTTGGAGAGAGGGGATGGTCTGGTGGCGAGGTTGTAGGAATGTTAGGCAGGACGATGCACTGTTTATATGGCGCCACCCCTCGCCACCTCAGACCTCCTCCTTGGATGACCTTTCCCCCCTCTCCCTTTGCAGACAGGCGCATGTGCACCAAGTAATGGGAGTGTTCATGGCGGATTGGGTTGCCGCAAGATTGGAGCCGGGTGATGTATGCGGCGATCCACAATGTCATTTCTGCCAACCATTGTAGGCTGCCCAATGACTTCCGCCAACCAACACTGCCCACCAATCATATTGGTAGATAAAAAGAGCACCATAATTTGTCGAATTACACATTAAACTCTCACATGAATGCTAATAAGGACAATTAAAGAGACTTTCAATCTCCAGCATTGGATAATCACCAATCCACGTGGCCTATGGGGAAGAACCAAAAGGGATTTAAAAGGGAAAGATCCTCATACACTATAGGTGTAGGTACAGTAGGCGGAGGTGTACCTGCCAGAGGGATTTAAGGCTGCAAATGAGCCATACGTATTAGGAGCATATTGAAAGCCTGGGCAAATTGATCCATACTGTGATCATTTTCCTCTAGCTTTCTTTCGCAAGCTACTATGTGCTGACACAAATCTGCAGGATCTATGGCCCTGTCGTATTGTTAGGATTATAATTGATCCAGCACGCAGAATTCTATCACACCCTTGAACTCAGGATAGCGTCTTAGCAGACCTTAGAATAGTCGGACTTAATGTACCAGAGAATAGTCAGAATACTGGCCGAGGTCAGGGACACAGAACGAGACACAACGATGAGGAAAGCCAAAAGTCAAGGATACCAGAAATCAGGGAAGTCGAAATAAAGCCAAAGTCAAATACCAGAAAAACACGATCAGGAACACACTCTTGGAAAACCAGCTAGTGGAAACCACGACAGGGCAATGACTATCAGGTAACTTGGGCATAAATAGACCTCCTTCAGCTCCGATTGGCTGTACCTTGCTTTTGACCCCAGAACGTGTGTGTACGCCATCTGCATGATGTCACATGAACTTCGGTGTCTTGCTGAGGACGGAGGTGGGGCTATTTAACTGCGTGAGTCCACAGCGGCCGGCGTCCATTGATATGCTGCGATGTTCAGGAACTGTACCAAGTAAATATTATTTTCACGTTTTATATATATGGAAATGAGGGATACATGACATATGCACAAGATAATAGAAGGACCTGTTTTGGAAACTGACATTTACAATATCCAGATGGGGGTGGCGTGGCTAGCTGAGCAGCTAACAAGACGTGTTGGTGTGGAGCTCCGGCTGTTTAAAACGACAAATTGCCACAAATTTACAGCAATCGGACCAGAAAACTAGCCTAATACTGATCCAGATACCCCCGACATCAAGAAACATAAGAAACTAACCTGCCTGGAGGGCTCATATACGCCTGACATCAGACGGTCCTTCAATAGGCCGCAAAAGCAGACACAGACTAAGATGGCATGGGTTGGTAACCAAAGCTCCAGTGACTCGGAGGCATCGGCCCAAGAAAGGGGCCCCCCGACCACACAGACCGCCAACGCGGTGTACCAGATGGAAGACTCCGACTCTGACAACTCGCCCTCTACAAAAGGCGATATTAAAAAGCTATTACTAGACCTACGGAGGGTATGGAAGTTGGATCTGGACGAGGTGCGGTCTGAGATAACCGGAGTCACAGCAGTGGAGACTAGAGAAGGGGACAGAGACATTCTCATTGCTGAGACCCAAGCCTAAGTGACCTCCCTGACCCAACAACTCCTACGACTTACCCGCACGGTGACCACGATGGAAGCCAGGCACCGCAAGAGAAATGTCCGGATCTGCGCAGCACCGGAAACAATAGGCCCAGAAGCCTTGCTGGAGTTTACAAGCAAAATGGCGATCGCGATGGGAGCAAAGAAAAATGGCGAAACATGGCCAATCACAGCGGCATTCAGGATCCAGAAGGCTGTGGCCCTCCCCGCAGACACCACCAGGGACATTATCGCACTTACACGAGACATAGCGGTAAAAGCGACAATTATGGCCCAATCAAGGAAGACGCCCACCACCACGGTGGATAACCTTCACATCAAGGTATTTGATGACTTACCATTTGCAACGCTGCTAGAAAGGAGAAGATTCATGCCAATCACACGGCAGCTAAGAGACCGCGGTATCAGATACAGATGGGGGGCGTCTGTAACACTGGTGGTGCCATACGGGGACAGAGTTTTTTCGCTGTCAGCAGTGGAAGACCCCACGAACTTCCTACAGGAGCTCCAACTCCCTCAGCCCTTACCCCCTGGACAGGGGAGAAGCAAGACCCCCAGCACCACGGGCAACAACGCAGCACGGGAGAGAGGCTCCGAGGGGACAGGGGCACAGAGAAGGCCACATCCACAGAACCCTCCATAGGACTGTTAGAACGCTACAGAACTGAACACACGCCTGCCTACCTGCAAGTTGGCGACACTTGGGTGAACTAAGCTCTTTACAGGCCCTCAAGTATCTATCTTGTCAATTACCCCTGTTTTTATTATACTTCCCCCTTTTGTTTGTTTCTTCCCTTTCAACTTAAAATATTTTATTCAGAGGTGCATCATCTGATATCGCAAGGGTAGCCCCAATGTACCGGACACCTCAGGCCCAACACTTTTACCACATGGCCCCTGCTGGAGACATAGGGAAAGACGTGGACGAGCAAGTGTACCAGCGAGAGGGAAAAGGAGAGGGACACGGCACGTACGGCGGGGAGAGCAGACACCATACCATTAAGGTACACTGCGCAGCAGCCCCTAAGCAGCTAAAGATACACTCTAGACCCATATAGATAGCCTATTCCACTGTGATCAATGGCTGCCCTTCTGAGAAACACTAGAGCAGGGAATAAAATATCCCCCTTAGACTACACTGGGCAATGCGCTCACAGCACAGCAAATCACACACAAGCAACCAAATGAAGGATATAGAATAGGGCACGTGAACATCAGCGGGCACAACACCACCTCAAAGACTGGGAGAGGTCTAGTGACACATGGGGACAGGGCATAAAGGAGTGAGAGTGACCACTGTACTGGGAGATGGGATACAAGAATGTGGATGAGGTAGAGCAGACAATAAGGGACACAAGGTGAGACATACAACACGAACGGACGGGATATAACTGCTGACGGGCGTGCTATAACTGGGAATGCAGCAGCAGCGTTAAGCTAAGTCACATAATAATCCCGAGCAGTGACGGCTTATAAAGCAGTAAAAGTTGCCATCCTTCGGCAGCCACACCAAGACTAAAGAAAAGCATGAAAGTATTCCCGCTCACCTCCAGACATATGTCAACTCTCAAGCCGACCTTAAGTCGCCCACACCCAAGAATTTTTTATTATTATATTCACTATCTTCACACTTTTAAACTATTACTTCAATATTCTGACCTATTATCTTAAAACATTGCAGCCTGTATAATGAAGACAACTGTTAACGATACCATGTGTAGCCGTTTCTCACTACTAACCATTATCTATATTATAGTATGTTTTGAATTGACCAGTTAAACTACCAAAATGTGCAACTTAATCCTATATTACAACATTGTATGCATTGAATTGCCAGCAGTTGCTGTTGTGGCACTGCGAGCATGAATGTTAATCTCTTTGCACAATCAAAATAAAGAATATATAAAAAAAAATTTTTTAAAAAGAATATCAAGATTAACCCCTTTAGGACGGAGTCAATAGTGCACATTCTGGTCAAAACAAAACGTAAACAAAAACTGGAATTTGCACTATATGTCTGTTCAACCGTAATTCACCGCTGTCACATTAAGTGCACCCACACTTATTATATATCATTTAGTTCAGGAGAAACAGGGCTTTAATTTATCATTAACTATTCATATATGGAAAATAATTTATTAAGAATAAAATTTTAAAAAATGTGAAAAAATAAGATTTTTTTTTAAAATTTATATTTCCGTCTGACATTTTAGCTGTGAATGTCATAATACTGTTAGGTTTTACTGCAGAAAAATGCAAATATTTGTAATCAGCGATGTCTCACGACTACAACAGTGCCCCCATTAACAGGTTTTATGGTGTTTTGGAAAGTTACAGGGTCAAATATAGAACGTTCCATTTTCAAATTGAAATTTGTCAGATTAGTAATGTTACCTTTGAGATGGTGTGGTAGCCCAGGAATGAGAATTACCCCCATAATGGCATACCATTTGAACAAGTAGACAGCCCAAGGTATTGAAAGTGGGGTATGTTTAGTATTTTTTAGTACCACTTAGTCACAAACACTGGCCAAAGTTAGCGTTCATATTTGTTTTGTGTGAAAAAAGCAAAAAACGAATATTTGGCCAGTGTTTGTGACTAAGTGGCTACTAAGAAAGACTGGACATACCCCACTTGCAATACCTTGGGTTGTCTACTTTTGCAAATGGTATGCCATCATGGGGTAATTCTCATTCCTGGGCTACCATACGCTCTCAAAGGCAACATAACCAATCTGGCAAATTTCAATGTCAAAAAAATGAAATGCAAGCCTTATATGTGACTCTCTAACTTTCCAAAACACCATAAAACCTGTACATGGGTGGTACTGTTATTCTCGGGAGACTTCACTAAACACAAATATTAGTGTTTTAAAACAGTAAAACATATTACAACAATAATATAGTCCATAAAAGTGCAGTTAATTTGTATAAAATGCCAAAAACTTCACTTTTACTTAAAATATCATCGTTGCAATACAATTTACCAGCTTGAAACACTAATATTTGAGTTCAGCGAAGTCTCCCGAATAAAACAGTACCCCCTATGTACAGGTTTTTTGGTGTCTTGGACAGTTACAGGGTCAAATATAGTGCTTGCAAATTAAATTCTCTGCACTTTCTCCCTGTGTTGTCAGGCATGTCAATCAAATTTTAATTAATCAAATCACATAATTATGTTAAAAGATTACTTAAATATACACATAGAATTTTAATATATATGCATTTATAGGTATTTAAATTCTACATGTATACTAATGTAATCTTTTATGTAATGATATGTATTTATCTATATATATATATATATATATATATATATATATAAATATATATATATATATATTTGCGGTTATTTGTATTTTATATATAGATAGATATATATATATAGAATTTCATTCTAAGTGTATTTTGTTACCAATATATATATATATATATATATATATATATTAATAACACAATACAGTTAGAATGAAATTACATATGAATATATAATTTATCTAAAATTTTGTTTCAATATTTTATTTATTAATTTTATTATTTTATTTATTTATTATTGTAGTTATATGTATGTGTGCATATATATATATATCTATATATATAATATATGTGTATATATCTATTATATATATATAATATTTATACATATGATATATATGTAAAGTCATTCTAAGTGTATTTCAATAGTAATATATTTACTTATATTAATATGAAATTACACTATGTATGGCGTTACATATATATAATATGTATATATATTATATATCTAATATATATACATATATTATATTTTTATAAATATATTTATTTTATTTTAAAACATGTTTAATTCATTTATTTTACATTTCCCACCAGCAGGGGGACTGTCTGACATTTTAGACAGTCCCCCTGCTGGCAGATCCACAGCCAGCTATAGAGGGCCATGTGATCGCTCTTTGAGAGCAATCACATGGCCCCCGGGGGCTTCATTTGCCATGGGAGGGCTGCCTGGGCTGTGAGGCAGTCCTCCCGAAGCGGAGCGCCTGGTAGGTAAGTATCCCAGGCGCTCTGGGGGCTCAAAGCCGTTACGGCGTTCTATGCCGCCGCAACGGCTTTAAAGCCCACTTATTGTGGGACAGCATAGAACGCTGTAACGGTGTTAAGGGGTTAAATAGAAATATCAGCTAAGTACAAATATTTGGGAAAAATGAACCGTTATGACTTTTCCAACATAGATGGTTGGCTTTGGTTACTGGGAAATCGTTTGTTTGAAAATTAAAAAATTGACAATTAACTGGAGGGAATATACTCATCACACTATACATGCTAATTGAAGCACTAATAGTTATGCTTTTTTGAATGTTCTTTTAATATTATTGATAAATACTTCAATTGTACTCTTTGCCCACTAACAACATAACAAAATAAGATTGTAAATTTTATGGATGGAGCTAATTCTGGGCTGAACCACTTAACTACATCTTCAATAAATCCATACTACAAAGCTTTCTGTATAATCTACCTTAAAGGGCTCATTGAAGTGGTCTTGGTGATGTGTCCCTTATGTACTTAGGGCTGCAATGTAAAACATTGCAGTTCCATTGCACTAGAGGGCTTCCTGTGTTGAAATGGACCTTTGGTCCGGTATCTGATGCTGGACATCATCAAGCTCTGCATGGGGACCTCCAGCATCATATTTTTCCCCATAGGAAAGCATTGATTAATGCTTTCTTATATGGAGATCCTAATGCGGCCATTGCCGCACATGCACATTAGGTCTCCCCCGCCGGCTGATGTTGGTGGGGGAGGGGCATGGGCGGAGCCTGACCCTGTGCCGAGGGACATCGGTGCTGGATCCATGTAAGGGACTGAAGGGGTTTTACCCCTTCAGTGCTGCAGGACAGGCTGTGGTGCCAGGCAAACTACTTTGTTTTCCTGGAACTATAGAATCCCTTTAAAGGAACACTTTAAAGGGATTCTAAAAAAAAAAAAAAAAGGAACACTTTAGTGATAGGAATACTAAATTGCCTCCCCCTCCCACACAACCCCACTCCCCAGCAATTAAAGTTTAGATATTTTTTTTACATTCTCCTTATTACACAACCAAAGTCCCACAGTGCTCGGTCACTCTCATCCCACTGTGATGTCAACACTGAAGGGGAACGTAATGTTCATGCCCATTAGACCTTCCCCATAGGAAATCATTGATTCACTGCTTTCTTATGGGGGATTTTAAGATGCTAGAAATCCTCATGCACAACGTGAGGATTTCCAGCGTCATTTCACTGAGTCAAACTCTGTAAAACCGCAGGAAGCACCTCTAGTGGCTATTTGGTAGACAGCCATTTGAGGCAGGCTTAACCCTGCAATATAAACATTGCAGGGCCTCTGAAACTGTAATGTTTCACATTGCAGGACTAAGGGGGACAGCGGCAGTGCACTCAGACTTCTTCAATAAGATGAAGTGGTCTGGGTGCCTATTAATTATTGGGAAAATAAATATGAGCAATGAAACGCACGCCACCTCAAAGTGAGTATGTTAGGATTGCCCTCCAGGGCATCTCATGCACAGAGCCCTGCTGAAGAGATCTTGTATGGGAGCAATGCCTTGTGTATACTTTACACAGCACAGCTCTGCATTTGCTAGTGACTTATCTCCCTATAAGAGGACAAAAGTGGGCCATGGCCAGTAAAGAGTGTTGTGCATGTGTGGGGAGGCTCTCTGTGGTGTTGTATGTGGTTGAAGGCTGATGGAAGACTGTGAGATGTGTTAGCATAGGGGTGACTGTTAGAGGAGTAGTGTGTGTAAAGGAGTTTGTGGTGTACTATGTGTGGCTAGTAATTGTAGTGCGTATGTGTTTCCACTGAATGTAAAGTGTGTGCGAGAAAGTATGTGTGTATTTATAGTGTTTCTAGAGGGTATAATGTGCATGTAAAGGGGCTGTTGTGTGTGGTGGGTGTATCTAGGGGCTGTAGAAAGTGTGTGCAGGGGCTG